TTTTTTATTGTATATTTTAAATATAATTAATCATATGTCTTTAATAAAACAAACATGACTTAGCTATTTAATCATTTTCTTGTATGTGAATGCCTCCATCCATCAAATATTCATGATGGTCATGATTATTATTCAATACATTTGATGTTATAATTGGTATAACAAACAATTGCATCACCCAAGTAGTAACAATACCAAGGCCATGCATAAACAAAACTTTTAATGATGCCTGCCTACCCAGATATCTGGAGTTCACAAGAATAAATAAATAGGGAGGATCAAAAAAAAGATTATAGTTCCCATTGTATAGATAGTTCCTTAAAAATCACAAATAAATCTGATGTTGATCACAGGCGTCAGATTTAATTAAATTTTCCTATCACAAGCATGCAAGACGTACAATTAAGTGCAATTCAGCACTATGGAATTTTTTTCCCACAGGTGAAGCGGACTTAAACACCTTTGAAGGCTTTGGACAAAACTTTCCCTTATTATCCCCTCAGACCAGGCTTGACTGTTACCATACGGGCATTGGTAATGATGAGGATCAGCATTTGTGTGATGATTGCTTTGTGTTATACCTCTCTCACTAAAATAAAGTTGGTGTCTGCAACTCTGCAACTCAGGAGTTTGCAACCTGGGTTGCTGTCTTGTTGGCAGCACGCCTCTCACCAACAACCCTGTCCCATTTAAATTACAAGTTCAGTTGGTCAAACAAAAATTAAAGAAAAACAGAGTATTTATGGGAATGTTTAATTTTAACATAACATACCAAAATCTGAACCATTTTATGACTTTTTTCTTATTGGCCATATTGCTGACAAAGATGCATATAATCATGCAATAATTTTAACCTACAGGACAGAGGACTGATTGGGAAAAAAACCCACCCAGTGCCTTACCCAAAATTATAAATTGGAAACAATTTAGGAAAATGATTATATAAACAAACACTATTTTACAACTTTCCTTCTAACATCAAAACCCAATTGCAATTCCAGTTACCAACCCTGCTCTGAATTGTAACATCTTGTGCTTGAAATGAGTTGCAGATTCTTGTTGCTTTGATGTTTACATAGCACTACAATTCATCAATAGAATTGCAACTTGACCACAGAGCCATCCTTACCCTAGAGGTAGATTGTTGCAGGCGACTTTTCAGCCAGCATGGCAGCAGCCTTCTCTGGTCTGGAAAGATTAGTGAAAGTGTCATTGACAATTGGTGCAGTCTCGGTAAACCCCAGGGCCATGCGCCCCCCCCCCTAGAATTTGATTGCATCATCATATAATCATGGAAATCTTGGTCAGATTAGCCTTTGTACATGAGGAATACATGAGAATGACTGTAAAGTGTTCAAGGTAGTGTGCATGCTTCAACGTCTGTAAATTCTCAATAATCAAATGTTGCATACTTGAATTGTTTCATATTGAAATGTTTCTTTTTCAATGGTGTGCTGCCTTGACATCTTGTAATTATAATGATATTAATATTGTTGATTACAATTATGCAAAGAAAAAAATGATACCAATCTTGATAAGAATCTTATTACCCAACAAGATCTACCCACGTTTTTGATTTCAATTAAAATATTTATAAACTAAAAGACATATCAATACAAATAAAAAATAGTATCTCTGGTTAGTTATTAACACGTCTTCTTTAGGAGACTCACGTTTTGTCATTGAAAAATAAATTGTTTTTCTAAGAAAAAAAAATCAATTCGCGTCAACAAAAAAGACCGTCCTGCATAAGGAAAGGATTTTCACAATTGATTTCATTTATATGGGGCATGCTGCAACAAAACCAGACAAAGTGAACATTGATATTACCAAAGGATTTCAGGGATCAAAATTTAGTATGATTTTAGTGTGATCAGTTTTATAATGTCTCTCTATCTTAAGTGATAGATAGAATTACCCCTATATAAAAATAGTTAATATTAATATGAAATTAATTTACATCAGATCTACCATGGAACCTATGAATTATAGCACTATTAGAAGTATTTTGAAAAAGGAACAAGGAGAAAAAATTGCATCTTATGTTTTCAAAATAAATGATGTTCAGACACTGGAATCTTATCTGAGGAAAGAAAGTATTACTTATGAAATCTACCAAGAAGAAAGAAAAATAATAAATGTTAGAAAAAGAAAGCATCATGATGATGCATTATTGTCTAATAAGAAGCAAAAATATTTATAAGTCTTATGATTAATTGTTAATCTATTTTTTCTTTTTATTTATTCAATGAAGAATTTCGTGATAAATATATATATTAACAATTAATTACATGTTTAAATAGACATAATGATTTTTTTTATCAAGCATTATTAATTAATCACTATCATAAGTGAAAATTGGAATTAAATTTTCCATTGAGATATCATTTTCAATGTGTAATTCTTGAAAAGGGTTTTTTTCTATCTCTTTAATGATTCTTATTGTTTCATTCAATCTTTGGTTTGCCAAGTACAAGAAATGGATTAAAAAAAATTATTGCTTCCACAAAAGATTCGTCATTAACATCCAATGTTATATAAGGTTTCTGGTCAAAACTGCTTCTATTAGTAGCCAAAATTGCCCAATACTTTGGGCAAAAATTATTTTTTTATAAGCCCAAACTACTTTTTGTTATTAGCCGAAATTGGGCAAAATTATTTTAAAGTTGTTCAAGTTAAAACAAGTTGATTCATATAGTTTTTAATGCCCATGCTTATAGAAAATGTTGAGAAGCCCAAATTGCCCATACTAGTTTGGGCTATGAGAAAACAGTTTGGACCAGAAGCCTTAATGGTATATATGTGCAACATAATTTACATGCCCTATGTATAGGATAATACTTTCTGTCAACAATATAGATTTCAACAACAAATCCTAAACATAGAAAATATTTATTATAAATTATAAAAAAAATAAATAAATGATATCAGATATATTACCATAAAAATGAATTAATATCATCTCAATGTTGAAAAATTTTTCAGTGTTGATCTGTTTGTTCCTGAAATAAGATAACATCTTTTCCCAACCATCCTTTGAAATTTCAATAATTTATTATGATCATTTCGTGTATGATCAGTGTTGCTAGCACTTCTTTTTCTTGGCCCATTGCTAATTTCGCCATAGCAAATTTCCCATATTAAGAATTTTCCAAATATAAAACCATGAATATCTGGTTTTTTCCATGGACCATCCATCCATTGTTTCTTTCTCTCGTTGCTAGACTTTAGTTCATTTCCCTATAAATTTTACAAACAACTAAGAAAATATAAAATAGTCATAAAATAATCATTCAAAGGCTTACCATTGATAAGACATATTAGGAAGATTATAAAACAATAATTGTATTATTGGATTTGCCAAGTTGTGAGACCATGTTGGTTCATGAATTTCTTCATGTTTTGAATACATTTGAATATTTTTTATTCTTATAATACTAGAAGCCAAATTTCTGTAAGCTACAAACAAATCAAAAAATTCAGATTCAAAAACATTTTCTGGAATATTGTGACACTCATTTTATTCACATAATTTCTCGTATACTCTTCAAGTCCTTCCGGAAGATCAATAACCTTGATGCTTTCATTTACTTTGTTCCAAATATCATATAATTTTAATTCTTTTATTATGTTTTTCTGTAATGATCTCATGTCTAGAATTCCGGATAACAGAGGACCATTTTCTAACAACTCTATCTTCATAATGTTGTTTGCTATAACCTTTACAACAATGTTAACATCTTCATATTTTAACTATAATATTAAATATGTAATTAACATATAAATTAATTTTAATATGAAAATAAACAAATAAGACAATTCTTTACTTTAGAAATATTGAATTTTGCTTGATTCATCTTGAACACACAATTTGTCTTTGTTTCCTTGGATATACCATATTTTTGGGATTGTTCTTCAATAAAGAGTGAATATTCAATATACTTGTAATTGTTTATTGTGTTCTTGGCTAGGTTCCAAAATTTTTTTACATTTGGATCCTTTGATTCACTGTTATATTTATCATCATCCTATATAATTAAAAAAAAATACAAGACTTATTATTAATATTGATAAGGAATAATTTATACACATGTTCAGACTAATTTATGTTTCATATTAGGGAAGACATGCATATTTATTTTGGAGAATGTGCTATTGATAAATTTAAAAAATGATATTTGTGTTGATGCAAAACATATTCTCTTGTGATAAATGCAGTGAATAAAGAATATTTGATAAATTGATGGATTAATTAAGCAACCAACAAATGAACAAATTGAACTGTTCTCTTGATGTGATCCAGCTCATCAAATCCCCTCTATTATTGTCATTATAAATAAGATCAAATAAAATAAAATGAAAATAAAATACTTTCCTCTCTAGTTATAAAAAGTCTAATCAACGATGTTTTCATCTCCTCAAAATCATTATTTAATTTTACAAATGAATTATTCATGGCAAATAACAAGTACATGAAGAAACAAACATTATCTTTTTTTTTAGACATATATGCCCAATATTCTGAAATCAATTTCAGTTCATCATCTTTGTCTAAATTTTCTTTATTACTAGATAACAGGTCACAACAATGTCACAATGTAATTTCATGTTAACTGGAATAGTGGAAACAATTCCATAAAACCACCACCACTTTAAAAAAAAAACTGACACTTACGTAACAGCTTCCTTTTTGTTGTTTACTTTTCTTCTTTTGCTTCATTTTTTTTTTAAAAAAAAAATTGAAAAAAAAATTGGCAATATTAACTAGAGTAATGACAAGTGGTGGGTGATAACCACCACCACCATCCTTAAAATACTTACCCAGTGACTCCAGAATCATTTTGTCTTCTGCTTTTGTTTTTTTTTGTCATCAAACAACATTTTTTTTTAAAGTTTGTTATTTGATCGATGCATACACATTAATTATTTATCCTATTGGTTTTTTTTTTTGGTAGGACAGACACAAATGATTTTTTTTTTGGAAAAACAAAAAATAATTTATTTTTTGACAGAGTCCAAGGTGACAAAACGTGAATGCTGTTGTTTGGTTTGGGTCTCCTAAAGAAAAGGTGTTAATAATAAGGTTTCTGGTCGAAACTGCTTCTATTCGTAGCCGAAATTGCCCAAATACTTTGGGCAAAATTATTTTTTTATAAGCCCAAACTACTTTTTGTTATTAGCCGAAATTGGGCAAAATTATTTTAAAGTTGTTCAAGTTAAAACAAGTTGATTCATATAGTTTTTAATGCCCATGCTTATAGAAAATGTTGAGAAGCCCAAATTGCCCATACTAGTTTGGGCTATGAGAAAACAGTTTGGACCAGAAACCTTAGTTAATAACTAACCAGAGGTACTACTTTTTTTTACTTGTATTGATATTTTTGGTTATTATAAATATTTAATTGGAAATCAAAATGCGGAGCAGATCATTGCTGGGTGATTACAAGATTTTCATTGATAATATTTTGCTTTGCATAATCAATAATAATAATACTATTATTATTATTATAATTACAAGATGTCAAGGCAGCACACTGTTGAATAAGAAACATTTCAATATGCAATGTTTGATTATTGAAAATTGACAGGCGTTGAAGCATGCACACTACCTTGAACACACTACAGTCATTCTCACATATTCCTCATGTTCAAAAGGCTAATCTGACCAAGATTTCATGATGATACAATGATGCAACTGAATTCCAGGGGGGCGCATGGCCCTGAAGTTTATCATGATTGCATCAATCGTCAATGATGATTTCACTAATCTTCCCAGACCAGAGAAGGCTGCTGGCACGCTGGCTAAAAATTTGCCTGCAACAATCCCACCTCTGGGGCAAGGATGGCTATATGACCAAGTTGCAATTCTGTTGATGAATTGTAATATTAGGTGCACATAAACATCCAGATCCATCAAAGCAACAAGAATCTGCAACTTGTTTCAAGCACAGGATGTCACAATTCAGAGCAGGGTTGGTGGCCCTGAAATTGCATTTGGGCTCTAATGTTAAGAGGGAAGTTGTAAAATAGTGTTTGTTTTGTATAATCACTTCCTAAATTCTCTGTTTCTCTGATTCTAACCAATTTAATAATTTTGGGTAGGGGACTGGAATGGGTTTTGCCCAATCAGTCCCCCTGTCCTGTAGGTTAAAATTATCACATGATTATATACATCTTTGTCAGCAATATGGCCAATGAGAAAAAGTCATA